CATCATTTGAGTGTTTTCATCAATTAAGGTAAGAAATTACTGTTTATTAGTATGTTCAGAGTGCGAGAAGGTCTCTATAAGTCACTGTGAATAAGAGAAAATGGAGTGGAAGATGTGTAAGGATGAGATGGACAAGAAACACGATGATGTTTAGCTAATTGACAAATCTCATTTTTGAAGTTAGCAAGATTTTTATTAATAAACATCGATGGATACAATTGTGTTAAATACTGAAAAATGAGATTACCGAAATGATAATGCAATAACAGAATAAAACATGCAGCGAATCGAGAAAAGTTGCAACTACTGGGAGAAGTGTTCTCGTTCTTGGTGTCTTTCTCTTAGAAGAAGTAGAGCTCAGCTACTCTTTTAGCACTTCCAATCATCCTCTCCGACTGACGATCTTGAAAGACACAAACATTAGGAGAAAAATTAGCAACGCAATTCATGTTATGTGTTGGCTTACTGACGGGTAACATATTACACTTCAACAGATGGACATATAACACATATTTCAAAGTTAGAATAGTTGTTAACACAATTGATCCTTTATGAGCAATAAAGTTGCATGAGCCTTCACGAACAATGACACGGCTTGGGACCATTCGATCTGTTCAGTTTATGGGTGGTGATTAGGAAGTTCATGTGGTTTTCCGATCCTCCTTTCTGCGAAGGAGTTGAGATTATTGTTGATTCTTCGGTGGACTCAAGTACACTATCGGGAGAAGGCTCGGTGGTGGAAGAATCTGTCATGATTCCAACTAAGCTAAATATGATGTTGGGTTGGCGAGTCATAGGAAAATCTTAAAGACTGGATTGGAGAATCACTGGTGTTTGAAAAGAAAATCCGAAAGCACCAGTCGAAGAGAGCAGAGCTCCTGACGAAAATTCAGGCTGGTAGTAGGGACCTCCGACGACTGGAAAAGACCGTTGGCAAGTCAAGCGGCGGTTTTGCAAGGAGACGGCGATGAATCTGGGTGGCAGCAATTACTTCTGACAGCTGGAAAGGAAGCCGGCGGTAGGCAAAAGTAAATAGATGGGAGACAGTAGGCCGGGAGCACCAGCAGCAGGTGCACAAACAATCCTCCCAGGGAGACTGGAAACAATTACTAGGGAAGCTGACAATAGGGAAAAAACAGTCGCAATAGGTGACAACCACTTTATGGGAGATAGGAAATGACAGTAGGGGAAGCCGGGGACAAGAAAAACCAATTGGCTACAGCAGAAAACAACCGACAGTAGGGAAAAAAACAAAAAACTTGTCGCCGGCGGGGAAAACTCCAGGAAGAGCTGGCGGCTATGGTTAAATTATTGGCTTTGATACCATGTTAGGTTTCAGAATAGAGCAAAATAATTTTTTTGATAGGATGAGTGATAAAGATAAATTCAGAAATAGACCAACTAGGAAATACATAAATATGAAAATGAACAATAAAGGAAGCCAATAAAAGCTAAATAGTTGCAATAGTAATTAGCCTAATAATTAGGCTAATAATTCTAATACTTCCCCTCAAGTTGAAGCATAGACGTTCATCATATTCAACTTGGATTTGAAGTCATCCAATAATGACCAAGGAAGATTATTTATTAATTTTATGTTCGTTCATAAGAGATTGTTTGAGATCACTTTTGGTTTTTGTTTTTTTATTTTTATTTTATTTTGGTTGTGTTTTGATTTAAAACTAAACATATTTGTTAAAATACTCAAAATAATTTTTAAATATTTTGAGTATTTTTAAAAAAAAAAATTTATTTTTATTTTAAAAAAATTTATTTTTAAAAATAAAATATAAAAATTAAAAAAAAAAATTTATTTTTAAAAATAAAATATAAAAATAAAAAATAAAATATAAAAATATACAAAAAAATTTACTAAACAAATATGTTTTTAAAATAAAAACAAAAACAAAAGCAAAAAAAATAAAAAATAAAAATAAAAGTGATCCCAAAGAATACAAACTTCAATTTTTACACTAATGCCACCTTGTCTATTCATGAAAAGGCTTATTTCACTTTTTAAAAGTTAAAATAATAATATTTTTTATATATAATATGTAAAAATTGGGTGGTTTAAATGTATGAAGTGAAGTTTAGGCTTTAGATATGTAAACACATAAGAATTTTGTGCCATGTACGTAAATTTCTCTTATTTTAATTGTTTTTCTGTTTCTGTCCTTTTGAAACTTGATTGAAATTGATTCTAACATGGCTATGATCTCGATCCAATTTTCATTTTCAATGTAGGATCCTGTTCTTAGCAGTGTAACGGTGGGTGTATCGCACTTTGAGAGGTGCGCACTATGGGTTCAAGTCCTATACTATCCTTTCTATGGAAGCGGAAATTTTGACTATGAGGGAGATTATGCCGAAGAGGAAGTTCAGATGATTAGACAAAAGCGCTCTTTGAAGCCAGAACTTGGAGAGCCTGTGATATTAAGATGTCAGCCTTATAAAGTTCCATTAACCGACCTTCTTTCGCCACACAAGTGTTCGCCGGTAGAATATTTTCGTTTCTGGCCAAGCCTACCAGCTATTTTAGAGTACACAGGAACCTACACTTATGAAGGTAGCGGTTTCAAGGCTACCGCTGCACAACAAAGTGGGGCTTCTCCATTTTTGAGCGGATTAAAGTCGCTCACATCAAAACCATTCCATCAAGTCTGCTCGCACCTTATCCGGACGGTGGCTGGCTTTCAAGTAAGTCTCTTGATTTCCTACGTCGCTTGTTATATTTTAACTTGTCACATTCCTGAAAGTGTGCTTGAAATAGCTATTGGTATAAAGAAATACTGGGGCATTTTCATATATAACACTCAGTTATATATGTATTTTAATATAATTAAATATTATTTAGTTATATGTATTTACATATCTAACACCTGAACTTTAATTTTTATATTTATACCACTCAAATCTTTTATATCACTAAAAAAATATTATTTTTAGTTTGAAAAAGTTAAATACACATTTTCATGCATAGGCAAGGTGGTATATATATGTAAAAACTAATGTTTAAGTGTTGGATATGCAAGTACATAAGAATTGAGTGGTATTTATGTAAATTTTTCAAACTATTTAAATTTAAAGTTTACCACATAGCACTTCAAATCAACCATCAACTTACACTTAATTCCATGTTGATATTAAGAATTTTGTTTAAATGATTGTCAATGTATGTGTATTAAAGTTAGGCATTTTAGAGAGGAATAACTTAAGCATGTGATTTTTCTAATACATTTTAGAAATAAGTTGTTGAAACTTTGAATTGAGTGGCTCAACCTTATTGATAAGAGGAGGGTTATTTAAACTCAATTACAATATGCATAATAATGATAATAAAAAACATAATAAAATTATTAGAAAAGAAAATAAAATAGAATAAAACAAAAGAGGAAAAACATAATCAGGAAATAAAATCAAATAATAAGTATTAATGTCGTAAGAATAGTCGTTATATTCTAATACTCTCCCTCAAGTTAAAGTATAAATGTCAGACATGTTCAATTTGGATTTGAAGCATCGAATAAAGGGCGAGACAGATTTTTTGTGAGAGGAGTCTACTAGTTGACCACTGAATGACACATTTGGAACACAAATCTCCTCGGACTCGATCTTTTCTTTAATGAAGTGTTTGTCGATCTCTACATGTTTGGTACGATCATGTTAGACCAGGTTGTGAGCAATGTTGATTGCGACCCTATTATCACAGTATAGTTGCAGTGGGACAGAGGTTGGCATACGGAGTTCACGGAGCATGATGTGTATCCGGAGAGCTTTATAGATTCATATGAACATGGATCAGAATTCAGTTTCAGCACTGCTTCGGGCAACCACAGAGCGTTCCTTGCTTTTTCACGTGACAAAATTGCCCCATGCAAAAGGGCAATACCCCGAGATGGAACACCGATCAACTAATCCAGCTCAATCGGCATTTGTATAAACAGCAATAGACCGAGTGGTGTGGCGGGAAAAACAAACCTGAGCTCGATGTAACTTTTAAGTAGTTGAGAATCCGGTGGACAGCTTGGAGGTGGTGCTTAAGGGGTCATGTATGAATTGACTCACTATTCCAACTGTGTGGCATATGTTAGAGCAAGTATGAGCTAGGTAGATAAGTTATCCCACAAGGCACCGGTAATGAGTGTTGTGGCATGTACAACTATGAGAATGTCAAATAATTTTTCATTAGGATCTATAAGAACAAGTTTACACAAAAGAGTTTGTTCTCTGTCAAGAGATTAATCACATATTTCCACTGAGACAGACAAATTCCCCAAGATGACCGAGCCACTTCCATGCCTAAAAAGTACTGGAGGGATCTCAAATCCATCATTTCGAAGGGCGAAGCAAGAATGTCTTTTAAGGATTTCAATGCTTGGAAATCGTTGTCTATAAGAATAATATCGTCAAAATAGATAATAAGGATAGCTATCTGGTCATTGGAGGAGTGTTGGAAGAAGTGGGTGTGATCAGATTGGGCCTGAGTAAAACCATGATTTTTGACCACTTTGTGAATTTGTCAGACCACTTCCTTGGGGACTGAAGGAACTTGTAGCCTGCACACTTGTCTTTTGGAGACAGTAGAATCAAAACCTTGAGGAAGAGACATATACACTTCTTTTGTCAGTTCTCCATTCAAGAATGCATTCTTGAAATCTAGTTGGAATAAAGGTCAATCCATATTCATTGCGTGAAATCTAGTTGGAATAAAGGTCAATCCATATTTATTGCAAATGACAACATGACCCAAATATTGTTTAACTTGGCCATTGAAGCAAATGTCTCCTCATAGTCAACTCCATAGCTATGTTAGTACTCTTTGGCGACCAATTGTGTCTTGTTGCGTTCAAATGATCCATTAGAGTTGAACTTGGGGTTGAAAACTCATATGGACCCCACAACTTTCTTATATCGATGAATATCAAAGTCTCATGTATGATTTCGCTGAAGGGCATTTATCTTATCTATGATTGTTGTTTTCTAGGCTGAATCAACAAGAGCAACCTCAATAGTAGCTGGGATCTGATAGCCCGTCAGGACAGTAGCAAATGCATTGGAGGTCAGCTATAAACTGCGGAAAACTACAGAAAGGGATATAATTTGCTATAGAATAGATGGAGCATGTCTGATTGAGTATCTTACTCTGAGAACTCGCCTTTTCATTCGGAGAAGGGGTTGTGTTGAGGATGTCGCCCGGAGTGAAGTCAGGCTCCTATAAGGAGGTAGTTAGTTCCAAAGTAGGAGCATTGGAACGGGTGCGCCGAGTGTAGACACAAATCGTGAGAGGAGAAGATAGTGCACTCACGGAATCACGAAACTCACTGGATGGTGCACTTAGTGAAACAGGGGACTCCTTAGTGGCAGGAACAATGGGGGGAACATCCATAGGAGTAGGATATGACAATGTCAAGAACCCAAGCTCCCCCTTAATTGGGTCGAACTAGGAAATTGGGGAACACTTTCAAAACATCAACACTCTCATAGGTTTTGTTAGTGGTAGGACCAACACACTGATATACCTTTTGAGTGGCTGAATGCCCAAGGAATATACTTTTTATGGATCTGAGATAAGGTTTATTCCAATTGGGAGCATTGTTCCGAACAAAAATAGTGCTCCCAAAAATCTTAGGGTCTATGGTGGAGAAGACCCAATTGGCAGGGAAGCGTGACATCAAGACGGCTAGGGGGTTCAGAATTTGTGAATCTTATAAGGGACTCTCTTTATGAGATAGGTGATAGTGAGAATGACATCGTTCCAAAACTGTTTCATGATATTTGATTGAAACATAATGGAGCGAGCATCGTCGAGAAGGTGATAGTTTTTCCTCTCGGCTACCCCATTTTATTAAGGAGTATTCGTTCACGAGCTATGGTGGAGGATGTCCTCACTCACCAAGAATTCACTCTTAATAGAATTGAAAAATCCACAATCATTGTCAATCCGAAAGACCTGAATAGGATTTTTGAATTGAGTTAAAATGGTGTAAAAATTTTAAAAGTGACAACAACTTCTGATTTGTCTTTTAAAATATAGACCCACGTCATTCAAGTGTGGTCATCAATCAAAGTCAAGAACTACCGTTTATTAGTGTAGCTGAGAGTGAGAGAGGGTACCCATAGGTAACTGTGAATGAAATAGAAGGAGCAAAATGTGTGTGGGGTGGGTAATGTACTCGATGATGTTTGACTAAGTGACATATCTCCCAATTGAAATTAGAATTGTTTTTATTAGAAAACAACAATGGGTATAAGTTTTTTAAATATCAGAAACTAGACTAACCTAAATTACAATGCAACAACATAATGAGACATTTAATGACTCGGCTGACCTAAACGACAATGCAACAACATAATGAGACATTTAATGACTCGAGATGAGTTACAACTTCTGAGACGTGTGTTCTCTCTCCATGCTTTTCTCTTAGAAGTAGTAGAGTCTGGCTACATTCTTAGCAGTTTCAATCATCCTTCTCGAATGACGATTCTGAAAAACACAACCATCAGAAGAGAAATTAGTAATGCAATTAATATTCTTCGTCAACTTGCTAACAGATATCAAATTACATTGCAACTGAGAAACATGTAAAATAGTCTCCAGAGTTTGTTCGGTTCTTAGTACAACCAACTATTTACCAACAATGAAACTACAGGGGCTATCGATAATTCTGACGGTATCCTTTCCAAAGCACGGATAGTAAGTCAAGAAAACTTGTGAGCATCGATTCATGTGATCTGTAGCACCTGAATCAATAATCCATGGACTAGAGGCAGAATAAACCGTGAAAGTCATAGGAAGATTACCTTTTCGGACGTGAGGGTTGACGGGCCCGTAGAGAGTTGATGGGCTCCAAATAGCTTGATCAATTGCTCCATCTAGTTTCTCAAGGATTTGAAGGATTCTGAGATGTTCCGGGTAAGAGTTTTTGAATTGTGGTAGATTCAGACGTTGTTGTGAGCCCTTTGTAGCTAAGGATTTGGCCAAAAGTTTGCATGTCGATTTATCGTGAAATTTCCAACATTTGCCTCGAGTGTGATTGGGTTTGTGACAGTAAACACAAGTAAAGTGACCGATTCGAGATAGCATGGATGAGAGCTGAGCAAGATTCGAGATGATTCCGACTGCGCCAAAAGAAACATGGCTAGGATTCTGAGACACTAATTGATTTGCAAGTCATCGGTTGGCAAATAACTGTTGGAAACAGGAAAGTTGCATTAGGAATGATACAAGAAATCTGGGAGCCGGACTGTTTGGAAAGTTGCAAGAAGGCTTAGGAATGATACAAGAAATCTGGGAGCCGGACTGTAGAAAAACTAGGAGTCGGACTACTGGATAACAAGTAATCTGTAGGAAATCTACAGTAAATTGGGAAGCAGTGCCAAACCCAACGGGAAGGATCAACAGGGAAGGCAGGTGGGAAAGCTTGCAGAGAAGGCCGACGACGGTGCTTTTCTAGGGAAGGGTTTTCCAGCGGTTGAAAAAGAACATAGTTGTAGAGCTCTAGCTAAAGCTTTGTGGTAGATAGGGCTACAAAAATGAGCCGAACAAATAGGGTCTGTAGGACGCATGGAGCAGAGAAATAAGGAGCAAAATCCTAAAAATGAACTAAATATTGTTGTACCAGACAGAGGATGCTGCTCCTCTGATTGTTGCGATTCTTGCAGGATCAGAGGATGTCGTTGGATCATTGTTGTAGGAACAAAGGATTCCTATAGTTTACTTGACCCGGCGACTAGGTTGAGGTGTTGGTTACGAGGCCTGGCAGAGGAGACCGAGGGCTGTTGGATTTAAGGTTAGGTTCTGATACCATGTTGAAACTTGAAGCTGACCTGCCCAATTTTATTGATAAGATGAGAGATATTTAAACCTAATTACAATATACGTAATAATGAAAACCAATAAAAATATAATAAAATAATGAGGAAAGAAAATAAAATAGAATAAAGCAAAAGAGGAAAACATAATCAAGGAATAAAATTAAATAATAAGTAATAATAACGTAGGATGGTCGTTATAATCTAATATAAGTTACTAACAAATAGTCTAGAAATAATGTGAAAGACATAAATCTGGTGTAGAGTTAACATTGTCAGTACGGAATTTAATAAACCCAACTCGAAATATTTTAGAACAATACCAATATTGATGGTAGTTCTTATTTATGAAAAGGGCTAGTCGGAGATTGTTGATGAAATAAACATGAAAGATTTACATACAATAGTTAAAAACTATACATGTGTTAATTGAATTTAATTATACTTAATTAATTTCAAGTTAAAATTTGCAAGCCTCATGCCCACCCAGCAACTATTCCCGCCTGTGTGGTTTGCATGACTTAACTCAAGAAGCCAAGCCCCCATTCAATGATCTCTGGCTTTGTCTCATAAACATTACATGAAAGCCTCGCCCCAATTTTGATGGTTTCCTCTGCGATTCTTCCCCTGATAATCGAAAACTTCGTCTATCCACTATTCCATTTCCTCTTATCTCTTCCCATGCCGCAACTTCCCACACTAGATTCTCTTTGTCATCACGTGCAATTCATGAGCATAAGGCCTTACTCCCTCTAGAAACCAGCGATGAGACCAAAAAAAAAGAGAAATTAAAACCTTCCAATCTCGTACAATGTCTTGACTTCAGCTCACAAAGATCCATAAAATGCATCTTCCTTGGGTACTCGACCACTCAAAAGGGATATCAGTAACAAGATTTTGTTAGTGGTACTCAACTCATGTCTTGATTTCTGATTGACTTCAGCTCACAAAGAGCGAATGTCATATCAAATGTATTTAATAGATTCACAATCAAAGTAATTGCATGTCAGTAAGGATGTGACTTGAATCTTTTGTCTACGTAGTTTGGAGCAAATCACACGACAAAAAAGTAGTTACAACATGAATCCTCGGTCAGGTGGTTGTCGTCAAATGACACCACTATATTATAGTCATGGCCACATCCCACATGTTCCTCAATAGTTTTCTATCATTTGAGTTGTGAATTATAAGGGTAAAATTGATTGATATAAAGTCTTATGTTAGCTAAGATTAATTTAAATTTGTCCTCATAAACAAATATCTACCCCAAATCTAAAAGGAATTCTTAGACGACGTGACCCATGAGTGCTGACAAGAATCCTTCTGTCAAATTGGGTCAATTATATTTTGTAACTAAGTAGATCAGAGGCCATGATAACCCGAGATAACGGAACCATGGGATCTTAATTGGGTTTCCTATGCATTCCCCCACTATTTTATTTAAGTTTCAAGTAATGAATTTTATAAATTAAAATCCCAAGTTTGCTGTCATTATATGCTAAATACTCAATTCATAATAACTAGTCTTAATCGAAAGTGGTCCTTTCTCCACGTAGTTTGGCACAAATGACACGACAAAAAAGTAGTTACAACATGAATCCTCTAGCCGGGTGGTTGTCGTCAAATGACACCACTATATTACAGTCATGGCCACAGCCCACATGTTCCTCAATAGTTTTCTACCATTTGAGTTGTGAATTATAAGGGTAAAATTGATTGATATAAAGTCTTATGTTAGCTAAGATTAATTTAAATTTGTCCTCATAAACAAATATCTACCCCAAATCTAAAAGGAATTCTTAGACGACGTGACCCATGAGTGCTGACAAGAATCCTTCTGTCAAATTGGGTCAATTATATTTTGTAACTAAGTAGATCAGAGGCCATGATAACCCGAGATAACGGAACCATGGGATCTTAATTGGGTTTCCTATGCATTCCCCCACTATTTTATTTAAGTTTCAAGTGATGAATTTTATAAATTAAAATCTATGCTAAATATTCAATTCATAATAACTAGTCTTAATCGAAAGTGGTCTCCCATTATCGGGAGCGTAATTAACCATGGGGGCTTACGCCTATAAGAAATCTTGAAACTCATATCAAAAGTCCTCACAAAATGATAGTGAAATCTCTGAGTAATGTCTTATCTACAATTTAATCTGTCTTCTGAAAATTCGACTCTCCAAAGCTCTCTCTCTCTCTCTCTCAGTAAAACAAAAAAAAATTACAGAGTCATCGGGGAGAGCAGTCCTGAATTTTCAGAGCCCGTAATACATACCAATCAATCCCAATGTATTTGCATAGCTAACACCCAAACTTCAATTTTTACATCATCTTATTTATGCATGCAAATGTGTATTTTACTTTTTAAAAGTTATAATAATGATATTCATGTGAAAGATTTAAGTGGTATAAATATAAAAAAAGCAAAGTTCAGGTGTTAGGTATGTAAATTTGTAGGAATTAGGTTGTATGTATGTAAATGCCCCAATAAACACTTCCTGTAATGCTTGGAATAAACGACCAAAATGTGAATGTGTTTTGCCAATCCATTTCTCAAACAGCTGTGCTTCGCCGCTAAAACTTGGTTCGGCGGCTTCTTGGGCATGATGATATTTGGCGGCAGCGAAGTTAGCAGAAATGTCGATTTGGGCGACGAGACCACCACGATGATGTGCAAATTCGTCGTAAGATCCTCCGATGCTTCCATAATTAAGGAAATAGGTTCAGACATACAGGGTTGGCTGGACGACATAACCGACGGCGGTGTCGAGTACATTCCTGAAGAGGAGGTGAAGTTTGCTGCTGCCGAGAGGCTGAGAACCTCCATGGAAAGAATAGCACTGCTCAAAGCAGCCAGGCCTCCCCCTCAGCTTCCGAAGCCTGAGGAAGAGGAGAAGAATGAGGAGGAAGAGAGGAAAAAGGAGGAAGAAGAAGAACCGGACGAGAATGGAAAACCAAGGGGGCCTTCCACTCTATCAACTCTTACAGCAGAGGAGGCAGAGCACCGTGCCCTCCAGGCTGCCGTTATTCAAGAATGGCATATGTTATGTAAAGAAAAACCTATTACTGCTAATTAAAGTCTTAATCATCTCATATGTATTTTTAGAGTGAGTTATAGTCAGTAAGCAAAATATTTAGCTTGAGTAAGTTTAATATTATCATTTTGGAGTCATATGTAGTAAGCTTGGTTTTGAAAGTTTGGAGGCATTTTTTGCTTGAAAATGTAGAGGGGATTCATGCATTGTACATTTGTACCTTATGAACATGAAAATGGTTCTAGTTTTTTAAAGTTGGAAACTTGCGTTTAATTCAATATGAAGCCTAATAGGTTAGATTTTTTTTTTTAAATACATAATTTTTAAGATTCATGGAAATTAAAGAAGTTTAATCGTCTTGGAGGTTTCATTGCTCTTTTTGTTTAATAAATGAATAAAAAATTATTAGAAGGTTCATAAGCATGCCTCTCAATGTATGTCTTTGTATATCTTAACTCCTAAATACTATTTGTGTTAATTAGTCGACCGTCAGCGTAAAATTTGTTGAAAAATCATAACATTTGACACTTGATATGCACAATTGAGAAAATGATCCATTTAGCCGATCCCACTTAGCGTGATGAAGGTTTGTTGTTGTTGCAAACCATTTTATACACAAAATGTATATTTAACATCTTAAAAATTAAAATAGTGATGTTTTTTATGGGACATAAAAATTTGGATGTTATAAATGTGAGAGGTAAAGATTAGGTGTTAGACATGTAAATACATAAGTGAAATGCATGCAAATATTGTTCAAAAGATAATTTGTATGAAAATTTGGCTCATTTTAGCAACTCAGCTGACTCAAAATGTATGAATTATGTTTAATCTCTAAACACTTGTAAAATCATTACCAAAAAAATACCATTTTTGTGCTTTTTTGGATATTTTAAGTATTTTTTAGAATATTAATTAATAGCTTTCTTATAATTATCACATTCTAAAAACTTATTTCTATCATAAAAATATTTATCAACTAAATCTTACTACTATATTGAAAATAATGAGGAAAAATACGGACTTTGACCAACATTTAGAGCTGTAAGAAAAGCTCCTGACAAATAGCTAGTGTTTGGCTCTTTGTGTATCTCATGCTCAATTAATTCGTTAAGAAATAAATCAAACACAGAAATTTTTTAAGCTTAACTTATAAACGAGCTAAACACATTATTTTGTTCATTTATGTTCAGTTCGATTTGGACCCAATTAATTAAATAATAAATAATATATAT